CATAACGATAACAAGATCCACATTCATTCTTTAAATAAAGACGGGCAATGCCACGTAGTGTGCAAATTGTGTCAAGCCAGCTCTCTTTCGATTCATATAAAGACGGAGTTAGTATTAGTTAGTATCCTAGACGGCTATATCCTGATGTTGAGAGGCACGTTAATTCGAGAAGAAACTGTCTGTAATGTGTTTGACAAGGGGTAGATTAGTCATACTTATCATATAAGACGTTAGTTCCTGCAGGCTAAATATATCAAATTGGTAAAAACTACTCCATTATATATAATAGAGCGTATAATATAGCGTTATTAACTCGTTAAATGACCATGCCATTATTATCATGTCACACGTTCAGCGGCTCAACTATCACAGGGACTGGTTAACTACCACAGGGACTGGTACTGGTTAACTATCACAGGGACTGGTTAACTACCACAGGGACTGGTTAACTACCACAGGGAGTGGTAAACTACCACAGGGACTGGTCAACTACCACAGGGACTGGTTAACTATCGCAGGGACTGGTCAACTACCACAGGGACTGGTTAACTCTAGCAGGGACTGGTTAACTACCACAGGGACTGGTTAACTACCACAGGGACTGGTCAACTACCACAGGAACTGGTTAACTATCACAGGGACTGGTCAACTAACACAGGGACTGGTCAACTACCACAGGGACTTGTCAACTACCACAGGGACTGGTCAACTACCACAGGGACTGGTTAACTACCACAGGGACTGGTTAACTACCACAGGGAGTGGTAAACTACCACAGGGACTGGTTAACTATCACAGGGACTGGTCAACTAAGACAGTGACTGGTTAACTACCACAGGGAGTGGTAAACTACCACAGGGACTGGTCAACTACCACAGGGACTGGTCAACTACCACAGGGACTGGTTAACTATAGCAGGGACAAGTTAACTACCACAGGGACTGGTTAACTACCACAGGGACTGGTCAACTACCACAGGAACTGGTTAACTATCACAGGGACTGGTCAACTAACACAGGGACTGGTTAACTATCACAGGGACTGGTCAACTAACACAGGGACTGGTTAACTACCACAGGGACTCGTTAACTACCACAGGGACTCGTTAACTGCCACGGGAACTAGTTGAATCAAGTCCACGGTCCCTCACCCCCAGAAAAATGCAGAAGAGCATAAGTTTAAAAAGACAGTTCTCGGGGGAAGGGGCCCAAACCCACATAAGTCCCTGGCTCCTACTCATCTAGTTGATGTATAATTGGTTTATTAGAGACTGGACAAACCAATACACTTGTAACATAGAACTGGACAATTCGAGACTAGTTTAAGATTTTGATATATGGTAACTTAATTGACCATAGAATAAGACACGAATAGACGAGGTACAGTACTCGGGTCTCGGGTCGGGATTATCGATACTACTCTACCCCGCAACCCCACATCATTGTAACCAAGAAACGGGTCCCTCATTTTTTTTTTAGGGGGGGGTCGATTTTTGCCTT